CAGACAAAGGGCACGATGGAACTGAGTAAATACTGGTGTTGTTTGTGCATTCGTGTTTTCGACTTGCTTCGAGCCAAGATTGAAAAAGAGATCGGCGGCAGAGTAAAGACGGCACATCTCGTTTTTGTCACAATATCAGCGGATGAAGCTCAATCGGCCGTCGCTCTGACAAGCTCGCTCGATACCGTCTGCTCACAAAGCCCGGTATCAAACGGCCGCATCCGCACGGTCGAGCAAAGGTCAGGCTCGCACGATAATTGACCGCGAGGAAGGAAGTATTTTCTACCTGCTCCTTTATCCGTCTCCGCTTTTCCCTTCAGCTACGTGAGATCTCTATTCGAGTCAACCGGTGGAAAAGCTGAAATGATGCAACGTTGATCACAGCGAAGTGCAGGGTCGCAAATTGAAAAACTCAAAAGTGTGACATTTTCAAAGGACGGCGGACACAAAAGAGATCCAACCTACGCAGAGTTCACTGAAGCTCGTACAATGCGCCGCTCTTCATCCTGCCGATGTGTGAGGACGCGTGATGACAGTCACCTCGGCAAGAAAGACAAACACTCCACCTACAGACAATCAAACGGCGTCAACAGAAGCATCAGACAAACGAGCGCGCGTTGCTGCTGGTTTGACTGACAGTTCGCCGCCGCCGCCGCCACCCGAGGAGTCAAGGGAACGCAACGGAGCCACTGAATCACTTATTGTTCCTTCAACAGGAAGGACTTAAAGCTCGCAGCAGGAGGAGAGCATAAACAGGCTAATCAGCCTCACGGAGAAGGACATCAAAGTGACTGCTGCCTTCAGGGCTCAGGGTCGCGACTCTATCTGACGTGAGGTCTGCATAATGAAAGCCCAGGAATTAGACAGTGCCCATTGTCCCTCGACTCCCACAGCAATGGATGACTTGCTTAGCATGCAAGCTTTTGGATATGCTTTGCATAAGGATGATGCAGGTTTCATTTTACTTATCTACATCAAACCACCCAACCTTTGTATACATATAAGTAGGGATGTTGATGATTAATTGATTATTTGCAGGCAGAAGACAAAGGACAAGTCAGAAAGTGTGCTGTAGATTACCTGCCGTAGCTACTTGAGCCACCTCTTATCGTTTAACACTGTCGCAAACAGAGAAGGAGGTCACTTGGACTACTGGTTCCTTGTTGGCAAGCAGAGAGTACTGTGGGGGTTTCGTTCCCAAAGTGCAACCATGACAAAGTTTCCGGTGTTGCCAAATGGACCAGAGGCGTTTTGTTAGCAAGCTAGAGTGCACTTTACAAGCTTCACTAAAGGCCGTTAGCCGATTATCTGTTAGTGGCTAATATCATGTGACGGACCCCATCGGATGGTTGGAGTGGGTTCATCAAGAAATCATGTACAAGTTATTTTTGTGTCTTTGGTTAAAAGAGCATTGATTGTCAACTACAAGTTTGCATCCCTGGAGACAACACTAAAACTACCTACCTGATACTGTTTAAAGTCCCCCTCATGCCACCAAAACAGTTCTGACACATCGAGGCATGAACTCCACAGAGTTCTATCTGAGGGTGTCCTGCAGTATCAGGCACCGAGATGCTGGCAGCAGGTTCTTGGATTTGACTCGGTTTGCCAGAACATCCCACAGATGCTGGATCAGATTGAGATCTGGGTAATTTGTAGGCAAAGTCAACACCTTGCCATGTTGCTCAAACCATTCCTGGATGATGTTGGCAGTGTGGCAGAAACACATACATGTGGTCTACCACATGGTTATGGTGGGTATAGAGGCTCTGTCAGGCTACACCTGGGTGATCTGGCACTGACTGTCAGAGACTACACTTGCCACTAAACACTTGATTTATTTCCTGCCATCATTCATCTAGATTAATTCAGCTCAAACATGCTTCACAAAACACCAGCAAATATTGCAGCAACTCGCCCGACTAGACAAAGATCAGGTCCTCCTTTAGGTGTCAAAGTAACATCCACATGAATGCCTGACCCAAGGTCTCCCAGCAGAACATTACCAGAGCATCACACTGCCGTCTCTGGTTTGCCTTCCTCCCGTGTATCCATCTTATCGCCATCCATTCAGCTCTATGCTATACGTCCAGCTCTCCACATAATGAGAAAACATGACTCCTTAGACCTTTCTTCTAGAGTTCCATGGTCCAGTTCTGACACATCCATGACCCTGTCAAAAGCAGTCCTCCTGGGGAGACCCCACAACACCTGCTGTTCTGGAGATGCTCTGACCCAGCTGTCACGCAATCACAATTTGTCGTTCAGGTTCTTACGCTGCCTGCTTTTCCTGCTTCCAAACATCAAGTTCAGCTCTGAGAGTCCATTTGCTGCCTCGTATATCTCACCCCGTGACAGGTAGCACCGTAACGAGATAATCAGTGGTATTCATTTCACCTGCCAGCGGTTGAACCAGTACGGAGAGTTCTCACCATCTGCTGTGAATGAACCTCCACATAGGAGCAGAGTTTGTTTATCATATCAGAGCTGCAACAAGTGTCTGTGAAGGCAGCATCCCCACTGCTGCTGCTTTGCATCAAAACGCTTCACGTACAGAAAGTTTTGTTCACTTTCACTTTGAAGCAGTCACACAAAAAATGTATCGGCTGAACAAGACCTCGTCCCTTTTGTCGTTTTTTTGTTTTTGACAGTGGATCAAATATTCCTGGGAGTAATGGGACGAGAAAGAGCCGCCTTTCACAGCCGACTGTTAGATAAAGAGCTGCAGGCAGCAGGCTGCACATTCTGTCCTGCTGTTGTGTGGAAAACCACTCTGTCCACAGAATCTGATGGCAGCTGAAGCTGTTATTTATTAAAACAGTGCGAGTTTGTTTGCCTGC